ATCCTTCATTGTGAAAGAGAAGAAGAATTCAGATTTTAGCCCAAGTCCTCTTTATTTAGTGATCAATTTCAGAACATTATCAATAAAAACTTATTAATTTACAACAAAAATTATTTGTACAAAATTATTTGCAAAAAAGCTCTGGTTGGATAGCTAAGATCTTGTGCAAGGCCATTTTAGTGCCACTTAATTTTGCTGAGAAATTTTTATTTTTTTTATTTTTACAGAAGCAAGGAAAATCTATTAATGAAATGTTGAAATAAACCTTGTAATATAGATAATTTTGTGTTTCAGGTTTCCAGATAAATTTAATATTTTTAAGTAACTCCATTTAAAAACAAGTTTACAACATTTTTTAGGTCCGTAGAGAAAGGTTTATTTTGTGTTCTCTTTACGAAAACAAAGAAAAAAGAAATGAAAGAAACGCCGTGTCTGATTCCCAATGGTACCATTTACACCTTCGTTTGAGCAAAATTTACACAGCTTTCCCTATTTTTCTATCTTAAAATTGATTGTTTTCAACCATTTTTTATTATTTACAATAAAAGCGTACTGCTGTTTCTTGAAGTGAATCTGAGCACCACTCAATTTGTTTATAATTCGTTCATCAAGTGGATGTGCAGTACTTTAAGTTTGTAAACAAAGATATATATCAGTATCTATATATAAATTTAGCTTGGGTGTCTGTTTGTTTGTATCCAATAAACGTCAAAACGGCTAAACCGATCGGGCCCAAATTTTGTGTGGGACTTCACGTGACCCCAGGGAATGTTTATGAATAATCCAAATTTTAAAAATTTGTGTTTAAAAGAGTTTTCTTTTTGTAAAATTTGAAAATGCGTGAAAAAATATAACGAAATTCGCAAACTTTTTTTTGTTTTTGTTTTATACTGTACAAAGAGAAGATGCTCAGAGATAAAGCCACAATTAAAAGTTGAAATAAAAGATGGGCACGAAGCGCCCAAAAAGGCAAGTATATATATATCCCCCCCTATTCTAAGGATAATAATGTCCTAAAAAAAATCTGATATATGAGTGAAGAAAAGAAGAAGAAAAATCATCATAATTTCGCAATTCATGGTGACCTCCAGTCCTTGTTCTTGCTCATCATAATTCATCTTTATATTTTCTGAACAGAAAAAAGATAAAACATTTTAGGTTCCACTTTCTCTTAGTTCTTTAGATATTCCCAGTCCCACTTCTCTTGAAAAATAGCAACCTTGGTTAGGCACAACCCATCCGCTATCAGAGTAAACCAGGACACAACCCACCTGGCTGTAAATGCCACACAGGGAAACAAGCGTAGCTATTCAACAAGCTATTAGTTCAATGCTCTAAATGTCACACAGGGACACAAGCCTAGCTATCAAACAAGCTATTAGTTCAATGCTCTAAATGTCACACAGGGACACAAGCGTAGCTATCCAACAAGCTATTAGTTCAATGCTTTAAATGCCACACAGGAAAACAAGCGTAGCTATCCAACAAGCTATTAGTTCAGTGATCTAAATGCCACACAGGGACACAAGCCTAGCTATCAAACAATCTATATATCAATTTAAAATGACGGGGACGATCCGCTCTAAAAGCCACTCAGGGAAGCACACGTAGCTATCCAACAAGCTATTAGTTCAGTGCTCTAAATGCCACACAGGCACACAAGCCTAGCTATCCAGCAAGCTATATATAGATATCAAACGATGGGACAATCTAATGCTTTAAATGTCACACAGGGACACAAGCCTAGCTATAAAAAACATGCTATATATATCAATCCCATTGCTCTAAATGCCACACAGGGATACAAGCCTAGCTATCAACAAGCTATATATCAATCCCAAATGATGTGGACGATCCAACGCTCTAAATGCCACAGAACTACACAAGCCTAGCTATCAAACAAGCTATATATTGATCTCAAATGATGGCGACAATCCAACGCTCTAAATGCCACACAGGGACACAAGCGTAACTATCCAACAAGCTATTAGTTCAGTGCTCTAAATGCCACACAGGGACACAAGTCTAGCTATCCAACAAGCTATATATTGATCCCGAACGATGGGGACAATCCAACACTCTAAATGCCACATAGGGACACAAGTCTATTCTATCAAACAAGCTATATATCGATCCCAATTGATGAGGACGATTGCTCTAAATGCCCCACAGGAACACAACTCTAGCTTTCAACAAGCTATATATCGATCCCAAATGATGGGAATGATCCGACCTGCTTTTCAAAACAGGGTTTCATGTTTACTCTCTTACAGTAAACAGTACGCTGTTACTCTATAAACTAAGCTTTACTTAATATCTTATGTTTCATGTTTACTCTCTTACAGTAAACAGTACGCAGTTACTCTAAAAACTAAGCTTTACTTAATATCTTATGTCACAAGTTAACATGAATTGAGGTAATTACAATTCCTACGTCGTTGGCTGTAGTACATGATTAAGACAATCATATTACGTATTTACCGCACAGTTAAAGTTTAATGTGCACATCTCCACACATGTTTATAACGTAAATTTAAGTATGTCACATGATTTAATCTAATCATGCTACGTATTCAATTGAAACACTGCAGGTTTACAGAATATCATGTTAACGATATTTGCTATAGCTCTTTTTCAGAAAGAGGAACACATTTTAGAAGATAATACATTTGTCTTTTTTCCAGATCCTAACCTAACCTTCTGAATCAGAGATTTGCTCAGAATAAAAGGACTAAAACGAAAAGAAAAAATCATCGAAAGAATGAATAGTATGAAAAAATCTAAATTAAATAACAAATTGCATAACTATAGAAAGTAAATCACGAATAAATTATCCAATGAAAATGTGAATGAATAAATATATGAAAAAATAGAATCACAAAATTATGAATTGTAATTCTATGTTGTACACACGAATAAAGGTATGAGATTGTTAAAAAAGAATTACAGGATAAAAAGTTGTAAATACAGATAAAGGATGAATGAATGAATGAAAGGATGAATGATAGGATGAATGAATGAATGAATGAATGTTATTATAAATCAAGTGTGTCCCGAAATAAATTAAGTAATTTGAGTAGGGGTGAATAATTATTTAACAAGTATGAAATAAGGAAATCCCGCTTGGGGATGAGGGGCGGGGGGATGCACAGTGGAGAATGTATCCTGTGCATATAATTAGCAGGTTATTCAAGCATAGATGCCATATGTTAAGCACTACTGCATTGAATTCTTCATTTTAATGGAAGAAATTCCTTTTTTAATACAGCCCACAAAGTAATTTTACTTCTTTTAGTAGATTGCAAGATTAAAATCAATAATTGAGAATTAAAGAGACGATTTAAAAATCAACTTTTATAGTATTTACACCTCTTGAGCTTTTCAATAAGATTTAAAATTAATTTCAAGTGACCCTCCATTTTTATTAGCATTTTACTGTCAAGTTCACTTTACTGCAATACGTTTACAAACCTTTGACTGATAATATCCTAGTTTTGAAGCTAAACAAAGTTTCATCTTGGTTTCACTCTAATCATAGCTTGCGGATGTTCGCGGCTGGGACAATGGAGAAAATATTCAGAATTCAACACAAAATATAATATCGACAATACCTTTATTATTAAGACAAGAAGGTTTAAAGTGTAAATCGGAAATACCACAAATTTTGCAGGGAAAAAGAAATCAAATTGAAAACATGAACCGGAAATAAATACCGTGCATGAGTTGACGTGCAGGCTAGCACGTGTTTAAGTATAGCTTACAGGGTCAACCCGGCCTAGATCATATTCCGATTGAGAGGAGGTAGGAATTCCCCGCATTTCCGTAATAGTCAAGCAAAATAAAAAATGTGTGTTGTACATGAAATCAAGGGAATAAATTCATTAATCTTCTGGCAACCCTATACGTTCTACACTACTTCACTAATAAATTATGATCTTAAAACTTCGATTTTCCATGAAAATAGTCTAATATTAAAAAATCAAGGTGATATATTCAAAATTGCAACAACAAAAAACAAGTTTCTTTATCAAAATTGTGTAAAAAAAGTATTCGAATAAATTTTTATTCATGCAGAACTATGTTCAGATGTAAGACTTCAAAACACAGCTCATATGGAAATAAAATCATTAAGCATTTATTAAAGGTGCACCCAAATGCCTTAAAACATGCAAGATCCAACCATATTCTGAATGTGGAAGGGTGCAATTTTCTTTGTTTCAATATATTTAATCTCATGGGAAAAAGAAAACTTTTATCATTTTCTAAATTGGTTTAGATGAGAAAAATATGAATATCTTGATGATCTTTAAGTTAATTGAATGTAATTCCTTGTAAACACAAATTAATGTATTTGGTTTGGATCTTGATACAATCTATGTTGCGGCATTGAGCGTGTTACTTCCGGTGTGCCACGTGCTCTGAAAGCTAAACAGTGGAGGGAATGCCAACTTTCAATCAGGAAAATACAAAGGAAAAGGTTCTATCTTATGTTGTTAGATTTTAGTATCAGGATACAAACAGAACATTCACTACACAGAAAACATTTTCAAAATCTGCTTTAAACTACAGGGTGTCCTAATAAACATGGGAATTCAGTGACGAATTCGATATCGTCTTTGCTATAAATTAGCATTGTAATACCTAATTTCAAAAGACATAATATTATTTTGTTTGCTAGAGTTTATTCTATGAAAATGATGAATGGCTGTAAAGATGTGGCTATTATGTCTTTGCAAGATGAACAGTGAAGACGGACAAGTTTACTCTCTTTATATAATGTAATTTTCTTGCTTTACTTAGTACAACCTTATGCAGTCAAAACATAAACAAACAAATTGTAAATATAGAGACGAAAATCTTTCGGATTTCAGCTTTCTCAGTAGGTATCACCATACTAAATCAAAGAATTATTTGAAAAGACAATATCGAATTCGTCACTGAATTCACATGTTTATTTTGGACATCTGTACTGTGGCTGTGTTGCAGATTAAACTCTGGAATTGGAGAACGACATTTATTAAATCGCATGTGTATTTGTTTTGAAATCGACTGATCAAGTGAGATGGGTTTGATACACTTTACATTTTGATACTTATTACATTAAGTTAATAACAGTCGTCTTTCCTTCTGCACAGTTTTATGGGTACCACTGTAAAAACAACCAAAAATTACACATTATCAGGGTTCAAGAACTTTTTCAGTCTTGGATCACTCCGTATCTTCTTCTCTGCTTTCAGGAACTGTATCTTGGCGGACTGTTTGTGTCTCTTAACTCTTGTCTCCAGAACGTTTATGAAGAACTTCTTGCTCTGTAAATCCTCCTGCAACATTAATTATATCAAGAGTTTATAGGCTGTTGTTTTTTTCAGGTTAGGGGGGTGGGTGCATTGCTTTCTTCTATGATTTTTGCTTTTTGCGTATGCTCTCTGTTCTGAATATTAAAAATTACAAAAACTTTATGGGTAACTTGTAACTTTCAGACCGATTTAATAAAATGGCTGCGAATATTTTTATTTAACATGTCATCAGGGACCATCAACTTTTTTGTGAATTTTTTTTGTAAAATATACATTGTTTTATAATTTTTTTTATTTTTTTTAAACCTGAGAGGGAGGATCTACAGTTTTGATTTTCTCCAATTCCTCCTTCAAAGAATGAAGGTGAGAGGTTAGCTCCAGCTCCTTCTCCTCCATACTTGCCTGTTCAGTATGTGTTTAATATTAGTGTACATAAAGTGCCGATGTAGAATGTTTTCAACTAATAGTTTAAGCTTCATGATGATGATGTGCATGTACATGTACTGATGATGATGTGCATGTACATGTACTGATGATGATGTGCATGTACATGTACTGACGATGATGTGCATGTACATGATCTGATGATGATGTGCGTGTACATTTACTGATGATGATGTGCATGTACATGTACTGATGATGATGTGCATGTACATGTACTGATGATGATGTGCATGTACATGTACTGACGATGATGTGCATGTACATGATCTGATGATGATGTGCGTGTACATTTACTGATGATGATCTACATGTACATGTACTGATTATGATGTGCATGTACATGAACTGATGATGATGTGCATGTACATGTACTGATGATCATGTGCATGTACATGTACTGATTACAGTATGATCAGTATGATAATAAGGTATGTGCTATCGAAAACTCTTTTTTAAAGCTTGCAGTTAGAAAATCAGAGAAAAGAGAAAAGGGATATTCTCCAAACCAATACCCTGATACCCTCATATTCTCCAAACCAATACCTTGATACCCTCAAAACCTACCAAGCAAACAAAAGTCGACTTTCATTCGAATTTTAATTCCAGAAATCGAATTAAACTCATACATAGATGTTCCAAAACTCGACTTTTTTCCTTGATTTCATACCACTTTTGCACCAAATTTTTGTTCACTTTTAACCACTTCTACACACCACGTTTTTCAAAAGTCGACTTTTAATCGACAAAAACATTTTACTTTTAAAGTCGAATAGTTTTTAAGTTTTAAAACTTATACCTTGATGCTCTCCAAACACTCGTCCCTGACGTGCATGGCCTGCTCCCTGGTTAACTCCTCGACTCCGAACTTGGCAAGGTACGGAGCTAAGAAGTCTAGTTCTAAATCCATCTCACTCTTCTCACGCTCACGCTTAGCGCGCTCCTGGGCCTCACGGCCAGCCTAATAGAACAAATAGGAAATTTATTATTGTTACAGTGATAACCAGAAAACTCTAGAATAGGAAGACGACATTAAAGCAATACTGAAGTGCAATTGAAATCTTTACTTGTAAGTTACTAAATCTTTTATCAGGTATAATGGGTCTGTTTACACTGCACAGTTGGTGTGTCTCATGTTCATTGGACTATTATAACTTGAATCTGAAAGTCGACTTCATATTCCAGAGTTTTCTCTTTCAGTTTACAGTGAGAACTAAAAAACTGTAGAAGTAGCAAGTTTCAAAATATTATGAAATATGAACTATATACGAATGCGTCGAAAAATTATCGATGATTATAGGTTGTAAGTAATATCTGAATGATCTGTTTGGAATTAAATTTTTTTTTTCCCGATCCGAGTTGAATATTGCAACTTTCTGAATTTGTATGGACGTTACGTTATTCGGTGTAATTCGTTTTTGACAATTTTCTCCTTATAGACGCAACAGATAGAAGTAAGATTAGTAGCGATCACCATCGATAATTTTTCGCCGTAAGCCCATACCCCCTTTAATTTTTCGCGAACACTCCCGTTAACGTAATCTTAGAATCAAAACAAAGCTATTAAACAGAGCTATTTATGAGCACTGAAATTAAATAAAAGAAAGCATTATATTTTCTTCTAATTTGGTTAAAAAAAAAACATAAAAAAGATATTGACTACAAAATATTTTAGCAGAGGTTACATGAATTATGATTTTTATTACCTTTACTCTTGCATTGCGTTTAGTATCAAAAAGTCCTACGATTAGACCTGTATTTGTTTCTTCTTCTATTCTCCTGCGTTATCAACCTTGGTTATCCTTTCATTTTAATTTCGAACAATCCTAAAAACCTATTGTATTGAACCGTCCTACACATAGACCTGTATTTGTTTCTTCTTCTATTCTCCTGCGTTATCAACCTTGGTTATCCTTTCATTTTAATTTCGAACAATCCTAAAAACCTATTGTATTGAACCGTCCTACACCTAGACCTGTATTTGTTTCTTCTGCTATTCTCCTGCGTTATCAACCTTGGTTATCCTTTCATTTTAATTTCGAACAATCCTAAAAACCTATTGTATTGAACCGTCGAAGACCTAGACCTGTATTTGTTTCGTGTTCTCCTTCATAACCTTTAGCATCTGCAAAGTTTATAGCGCTTGTTTTCAATGTTTTGAACCAAGGAATATATAAGAGCATTAGAAACTGCCATAAAATAATATGCTAAGGAATTTAACTAACGCTTAGCGGGCAGCACATATTACATGTAAGGTGTTTACATAACTTTCAGAAACTGCAGTACACTATGTTTTCTAGGAATTCGTGTTTTTAGAGCGCTTCGTAACACCTTTTCTATTAACAATGTTGACATTTTTTTCTGGTAAAATTTTTTCAATTTTAACGTCCATAAAAGTTAAATATACTTAAAGATAGACACCGACTAATCTTTAGAAAAATTGGAGTATTATGTAAGTATTGAGCATGTTTAAAAAGGTAACCAATAGTGAGCAGAGAATGATTTGTTTATTTAAAACTTTCCTCAAAAATTATCATCTGCCCCCCCCCCCCCCCCCTCCTCACTTACTCTACTTCTACCCTTCTTCATGCTCTAAATCCCTAGAAATCTATTTAATATCTTGAAAGATTGATTTGTATAAAATACTCTGAGTATCTCCTGTGACAGGAGCCGGAGTATAAAACGTGTCTGAGCTCCAGGTTCTCCGGGTTCTCTAGGAATCTAGGGTTCTCTAAGATTGATTTCCTGTCAATTAACTCTAGAACTTGTTTCTCCATATCCTTGGCTCTGCTCAATACTCGGTTCTGCTCCTTTACTTGATCCCTGAAAAGGGCACAGATTAGAAATATATACAGAGCGACCCATGCTTCACTTGATCCCTGAAAAGGGCACAGATTAGAAATATATACAGAGCGACCCATGCTTCACTTGATCCCTGAAAAGGGCACAGATTAGAAATATATACAGAGCGACCCATGCTTCACTTGATCCCTGAAAAGGGCACAGATTAGAAATATATACAGAGCGAACCATCCTTTACTTGATCCCTGATCAAGGCACAGATTAGAAATATATACAGAGAGCGACCCATGCTTCACTTGATCCCTGATCAAGGCACAGATTAAAAATATAAACAGAGCGAACCATGACTTTACTTGATCCCTTATCAAGGCACAGGTTAAAAATATAAACAGAGCTACCCATATCATATTGGATATTTTTCAAGCTTTAGCGTCACATTATACAGTTTCTGAATGTTTTTATTCAAATAAATGTTAAAATCCCAACGAACAACAACTTAAACTCTCTTGTACTATCTCTGTAACCTATGACTAAGGGGTAAAATCAGTGTAAAATGTAGCATTTTGGTTTTATGAATGATAAATTTAAATTGGCAAAAAAAATCAACTTCTTAGTGGATTACAGCCTTACAGGGCCATGTGTATTATGTATTGAATTTGTATAGCCTAAAATTATATCTGGAACGAATTTTATTTTAAGGTTTAACAGTCATAATATATCATGAATAATAAATTCCTAAAAATATAGTCTTTACAGGGAAAATAATTCAATCTAGGAAACTTTCAATATTAAAAAAAAAAAATATTTCCGTTCAGTCGTAAATGCCATATATTATAAAAATATGCAGTGTAGGATTCATAAATCTGTGTAATAGGATGAAAACTTTGAGACACCATACACAGCAATTGAGCAGTGTACACTTAGAGGTGTACTCAGGGGGGGGGGCTATGAGGGATAATCCCCCCCTCCTTGGATCAACAAAAACTATGGCTTCCAGGGGGTTTTCTCCATGAAATACACATTGATTGTTTTCATGTTGTTTTCCGATTCCAAAGTGTTGAGACCCACTTTAATAAAAAAATAGATTTTTATATTGTTCTGTAGAAATGAAACTAGATCTAGAGGAAGATTATGGTTTACCTATGCAGTATTCTTAGATGATGAATACTTGGAGCTTGTTGTCTTGGATCAACCATGTACACTGATATATCTTCAGCACTGAATAGTTCTACGTTAAATTGATTTGTAAACATGGAAAACTGGTTTTGTAAACATGGAAAACTGGTTTTGTAAACATGGAAAACTGGCTTTGTAAACATGGAAAACTAGTTTTGTAAACATGGAAAACTGGTTTTGTAAGCATTGAAAATTGGTTTTGTAAACAAGGAAAACTGGTTCTATAATCATAGAAAACTGGTTACAAAACATGGAAACTGGTATTGTAAACATAGAAAACTGGTTTAATAAATATTGAAAACCGGGTTTGTAAAAATTGAAAACTGGTTTTGTAAGCATGGAAACCGGTTTCGTAAATATCGGTAAACTGGTTTTCTAAACAAAATAAACCGGTTTTCTAAACATGAAAAACCAGTTTTTATAACCTTGGAACATTTGAAAACATGGAAATCCGGTTTTCAAAGGATGGACATTGGACACCGGTTTATAACCTACTTGACTGTTTTCTGTCCCTCTGTTGTTGGTTTATTGAACTGAATTGTTTGGCTGAGTATTCGGTCTTTCTCACGGTGGAACTTCAGCTTTATACATTCCTAGGTAGGTGGGTAGGTAGGAAGGTAGGTAGGTAGGTAGGTAGGGGTAGGTAGGTAGGTAGGTAGGTAGGTAGGTAGGTAGGTAGGTAGGTAGGTAGGTAGGAAGGTAGGTAGGTAGGTAGGTACTTTTACAGGTAGGTAGGTAGGTAGGTAGGTAGGTAATTAGGTAGGTAGGTAGGAAGTTTGTTTTTACGACAGGTAGGAATTAGTGCAACCGATGTGAGCTCAATAGCTCGGAATCGGAATAGTTCCACTGATTTAACCCCCTCAGTTCTCATTCGAACCGGAGCTAAACTCAGATTGGAAAGTTCCATTGATGTAACCCCTTCAGTCCTCATACATACCCGGAGCTGGTTCGGATTGCAATTAGTCAAACAGGACAGCGTATTAGCTCTTTTGAATATAGCTATAGGTCGGACAGAAAGTGGGGCAGATGATAAGTCGCAAAAGTGGATAAATATTTGTGGTAAGAAAATGCCAACCCAGAAAACATGCTATGAATGCATTTTTGAATGCATTTTTGAACGCGTGGAAAACCAAAGCAACCGTTGCCCAAGATCCTAGTTTAAATTCAAGCCAACAGGCATGAACTACGGCTTAGAAGGAGAAAATAGGATCGGCCCGGTCTAAAACAGAAATGGAGTCAGTTTTGATCAAGGGTCGCAAGACATGGAAAATTAACTCGTCAGTTTTGATCAAGGGTCGCAAGACATGGAAAATCAACTCGTCAGTTTTGATCAAGGGTCGCAAGACATGGAAAATTAACTCGTCAGTTTTGATCAAGGGTCGCAAGACATGGAAAATCAACTCGTCGTACGAGGCGGAGAGTCTGCCAGAGAGCTCTGGCTTTCTATGACTAATTAGTATCATTTTATTCGTACATTTTTTACTTACAAATACACTTTTTCCTATACTTTGTAGATTTACTCACATCAGTTTTAGGCTTTAGATTTCCTTTATTTCATACCACTTTTTAATGGTAACATTAGTTTAGGTCAAAATAAGGGTGATTAGGTAGGTAGGTAGGTTGGAAGGTATTTAGTTTTCCAGGTAGGTATAGATAATTAGGTAATTAGGTACTTTCACAGGTATTCAATATGCTGACTTTATTCTTTACCTCTTCCAAGTTATAAGTTCTCTCAGCTATACCTAAACTAAAAAATAAGATTGGATTAAAAAATATATTTTGTTGTCAAAAACATTTTTTGTGTTTTAATTTTTATCTTATCTTACATTTCTTAGATATCACTAAGATTTCACTAGCAATGTTTCACTTATTGGATATTATTAGCATTAGAAATACTATAATGCATTGGGGTAGTTTCCATGTTATTTTGGACGTGGGTTTTCATTGTATAAAGCCTAAATCTACCAATTTTATGAAAGAATACAAACCTTGGATTGGATTCAGCGACTGAAAATTCTTCGACAAGTTTTAAGATCTTCCTTGGTATCCGGGTACTATCCTCATCCTCAGCAGGTCCAAACTTCTTATCAGGTACTCCGAACACTACCTAGAGTAAATTTCATACCTCGTTACAATTTCAACACTTCCAAAAGACGATTTTTACACTCCGAACACTGCCAAGACTCCAGAGTATAGTTCATTTATTTGAACAACACACGAGAGACGGGTTTTTACTCTCCTAACACTACCTAGTATGGTTCATTACTCCGAACAACAAACTAGAGACGGGTTTTTACTCTCCTAACACTATCTAGAGTATGGTTCATTAATCCGAACAACACTTAAACACACCAGAGACGGGTTTTTACACTCCTAACACTACCTAGAGTATGGTTCATTAATCTGAATAATACTTAAACACACCAGAGACGGTTTTTTACTCTCCTAACGTACCCAGAGTATGGTTCAGTTCTCCGAACAACACACTAAAGACGGGTTTTTTCTCTTCTAACACTACCAAGAGTATGGTTTATTACTCAGAACAACACACTAGATACGGGTTTTTACTCTCCGAACACTTCCTAGAGTATGGTTCATTACTCCGAACAACACTTAAACACACTAAAGACGGGTTTTTAGTTTTACTCTCCTAACACTACCTAGAGTTTGGTTCATTACTCCGAATAACACGCAATAGTCGGGTTTTTACTCTCCTTACACTTCAGCTAGAGTATTGTTCATTACTCCGAACTACACACTATAGCCGGGTTTTTACTCTCCTAACACTTCCTAGAGTACGGTTCATTACTCCGAAAAACACACTAGAGACGGGTTTTTACTCTCCGAACACTTCCTAGAGTATGGTTTATTACTCTGAACAACACACAAGAGACGGGTTTTTACTCTCCTAACACTTCCTAAAGTATGGTTCATTAATCCGAACAACACACTAGAGACGACTTTTTACTCTCCTTACACCACCTAGGATATGGTTCATTACTTTGAACACAACTCTAGAGACGGGGTTTTTACTCTCCTAACACTATCTAGAGTATGGTTCATTACTCCGAACAACACACTAGAGACGGGCTTTTACTCTCATTAAACATCCTCGAGTATGGTTCATTACTCCGAACAACACACTAGAGACGGGGTTTTTACTCTCCTTACACTTCCTAGAGTATGGTTTATTACTCCGAACAACACACTAGAGACGGGGTTTAACTCTCCTAACACTTCCTATTATGGTTCATTACTCCGAACAACACTCTACAGACGGGGTTTTTACTCTTCGAACACTTCCTAGAGTAGGAATATACTCCCAACACTACCAAGAGTAGAGGGATTACAACTAAGAACACTACCTCGAGTAGGGATATTCACTTCACCCAACCAACCTACCTACCTACCTACCTACCTACTATCTAACCTTCCTATTGACCTTCCTCCTTATATACCTACTTCCTAACAAGCCTACCTTCATAGATTTCAGATGATCCTCCCTATCTACATACAGATCCTTTAACTCCCATTCAGTAACTTCTCTTCTCACCAACCCATCTGGTCTAAATATACGTATAGTATAGTAGGTGCTGGTGCCAGGGGGGGTTCAATCGGTCTAATCAAACAGTAGGTGGAGTTCATCCGATCTAAACATACAGTAGGTGGGGTTCATTCGGTCTAAACAAACAGTAGGTGGGGTTCAGCCTATCTAAACATACAGCAGGTTAGGGTTCATCCGGTCTAAACATACAGTAGGTAGGGTTCATCCGGTCTAAACATACAGTAAGTGAGGTTCATCCAAGAAAATGTACCCTTTCTTTGTATCATATCATCATGATTATAATTGTATTATTACGACTGTAATATCATACCTATATTTATGATGAAAACTGTATATTTTAACTTTAGCGTCCTCCCCAATCTTGCTTTCTGTAACGATCTAAACCAAGAAATGTTGAAAAAAAATAGCAATTAACAAAGAATTTTTTTATTTGAACATTTCTTTTACCAATTTCTTTGTTATTTTACCTCTGCAAGCTTATCATCTCTGCCTCTGCCAAACCTCTCAATGACTCTCCCCTCCTGTTTGTAAACCTCTCGCTGGTGGAGTCGGTCAGCTCGGTTCATGTACCGGCACACCACACGCTCCTACATAGGGTACATATCAATCCAGTGCCAGGGCGGTATTAAACAGGGCTAGCTAGGACAATAAGGAGGGAGGGCAGTTCGGTACTACAGCGGGAACAGTACAAAAGTAGTAATAGAGTTGGTACATTACAATTACTATTTGAAATTAAATCAAGAGAATATTAAATTTAATTTTGATAAAGTTTTACATAAAAAGATTTACGTCAAGATATTAGAAATTTTAGAAGTGTACAAACAAACTTAATTTTTTTTCAGCGACATCTTTGTTAAGAATTGAATTAAAGAAAGCTGTATTAGAAATATATGTCAGATATCAGATACCTCCTCTGCATTCTCCAGGTTGTTCTGATACTTGGTAACCCGGAGAACCAACCCGTCCTTTAAAAGATACGGAGCAAAGTGTTCAACCTTAGTCTCCAGGTACCTAAACAGGGGCTACATGAATGTGACATTACTTTGTAAGGTTAAATATGTATAAAGTACAGTGTTAGGCGATTATATTAATATAATGAAGACGACTTTTGATTGTAACTTTGATTTATATGAAGCTGTTAAACAGCATGGATACACTGTACACATAAACATAGAAGTCAAGAGAAGCTATCAATTCTAAAGTCGTCTTCATTGTATTAATATAATCGCTTACTATTGTAACAATCTTTAATCAAAATGGTTTCTCCTTTGAACTGGTGATTTCAACGACAGGTCAGCTTACCTTTCTGTTTTCTGGCCCAGTCGGAAAACCAGATCAAAACTCTCTTTTGGAACTTTTAAAGGTTGAACCCAAGAGTTCATGAGATCCCAGGGTCTTTTAATCATTTCACGGGGCTACAACAAACATATGTTTATTTTTTTTTAAGTTTTCAATTTATTTAAATTTTTTTATACCTTCTCTATTGAGAGTTCCTTCTTTTTTATCCTCATCAGTCCCATCCCTATATCCTTCATTTAACACGTTAATCATTTAAATCTTTGCCTGTAAATCTTGTGCAACTCTTTGATGTTCAAACTTATTTAATTTAATAGAATTTGGTTTGAAATATCAAAGGTCTATATACATACAACATTGGGTGCAAAGATATATGGATTAGAAATTCTTAATTTGTGGGAAAAAACTCAATTCCTTCATGTAAATGATAATTCTAGAGATTTTACTTCGGACCATTGCATTTTTATTTTTGTGAAAGATAAAACCAAGAATTTAAAAAAATGTAGTTTACCTTGGTTGCAACCGGTGAGGGGGGTTTCTCTTCCTTTTTCCTCTCCTGGATCAGTTTAACCCAAACCTTTTTATTCTCAAGGTCCAAACTTTTACCTGGGACCACATTTAATAAATTTGAGCTAGGTCACTGAACTACCAACCACCACATGGTTTAAATATTGAATCCCCGGTTCAAATCTTCAGCTGAATTTAAATCGGTGATTTAAGATTTGAACCGGCGATAGGTTCTGCGACATCTCATTTCATTAAATTCGGTCCCTTGTTATTAAAATATGCATGCATTATGCAATATGCATGTTTCTGCAGAAAAATTTGAAACTTCTTTAATAAAAACAGAAAATTCTCAGAAGTTTTGAACTTTTTTGTAATTTATATCGATGAAAAAGAAAGGTTTTAAAAAAATGGAGAACAAGAGATTCAGGAATGTCGTCTTCCAATTTTCTGGTTCTCACTGTTACAGGAGTTACAGCAAAATCCATTAAAAGAATGAGATATTATTAGGATAAAAGCAAACTTTACCAGATCTATTCAGATTGTCTCCTTGAAGGTTTAACCAGTAGTTTTCATCATTGAATAAACAATTAATCCGGATATAACTAGAATTATCCAGTTTTTTCACATATCCTGATCATTTCAACAGATGTTTTCCAAATGTTCAAAATATATGATCCTCCTATAGGTGGGTCTGCACTTTCAAGAGAAAAAGAAAAAGAGGTGGTTCATTAGAATTGTAAGATGTTATTGAAAGTACATTTTTTGTCAAAGAAAATGGCAAATACAAATGCAAATGCATCTACATTAAAACCAATTTATTAAAAAAATTAGGTAATCATTTTTTGCAATAAGATCTGTTCCTGTTGTAGCTTCGATAAAACAGGGTTCATCCTCCTGAAGAAAAAAACTTTTATCTTATAAAGATAAAAAATAAAACATTTTCCCTTGTAATCAGATTTTTAGGGTCAATAATTTGTTTAAATGCAACCATAAATTTAGTTTAATTCCATGTTTTGATTTGGTTTAGAACGATTACGTTTAGTTTTCAAAATTAGAGGAAGACGACAATCAGAACCATTGTATAGATAAATAATATCTGTTACACCTCATCTGACCTAGGGAAACTGACCTAAGTGTTTTCTGACCTAACTTTTAAGCTGGATGAGTCAGTTTTATGTGGGTCAGACAATAGACATATCTTTAAAGGAAAGTTGTTTGAAATCCACAAAAACGCGCAGGGAGTAAAAATTACTAATTCCTAAAAACTATAAGTTAGATAATTAGTTCGGATAACCTTTAGGTAGGTTTCCTCTAGGTCAGTTTCATAGCATCAACTATTTGTACCTCTGAATAGACCCAGGCGTGTAGGTTCTCTGTTTCTGGTATCTAGGATATGAACCGTTAACCTGGTTTAGTAGCTATAAATTTAAAGAAGCAGTAATGTAAGTATCTATATATTTTTTCTCCGTTTGGGTGTCTGTTTGTTTGTGTGGATGTCCGATTTGCCTCAAATTGTGATTTAGGATATCATAACCAAGGCAATGTTCTTAGATTAGCATTTTATAAAACTTTTGGGAACTTTTGAATGAATTAAAATTGTTTGCAATAAGTAAAAGTTAATTTTTACGACGACCATTACAGCTTAACTCTGTAACTTCTTTTTTCTCATAGACCTAACCGATGAGATGCCAAGCCTACAAGATAGAATAATGAGAGGAAAAGAAATGTGTTCATTTCAATATCTAAGAACGTAATTTTCTTTAAATTCTAAAGTTTTGGAGTTAGGATATGGATTTCAAAATTCGACCTCTAAGAATTTAGATTTAACATGGAACTGTTAGCGCCATTTTAAGTGACCCTCCATACAAACCTTTATCTGATCAATAATGCGATTATATATATTTAGATTTAACATGGAACTGTTAGCGTCATTTTAAGTGACCCTCCATACAAACCTTTATCTGATCAATAATGCGATTATATATATTTATTTTCCTGCAGAATAAAAAAGAAAAACCATAATCAGTTCACAAAATTATAAACATCGATTAGTAATTCATACTTAATCAGAGAAAGCTTAAGGGTACCGTTGTGAATTTGGCATTGCCATCTTTGCATGGAGGGTCACTTGAAATATCGCTTACAGTCCCTTCAATAACGATGATGGATGAGACACAATTTAGTGAAAAAAAATTAAAAATGAAGTTGATGGTTTCCTTTGTAGAGTACTGAGTAGAGATTGTGCTCTTGGTTCTTTCAATCTCTGCCTGCTGCTCCAGGAACTCATGGTATTTGCTCCTAGAGCAAAATAAGATTTAAAATGTGCTCTTTGTTCTCTCTTTTTCTACTTTCAACTCTAGATTAACATGAAATTTTCTCGGTTTTTTCAACATTAGCGAGCTGCTCCGAGAGCACAATGAGGTTTAAATTGTGGACTTGTTTCTCTTAATCTCATGCCTTTGGTTTGTTCTTTGGGTTTCCCTAATCTCGGCTTGCTTAACTAAGAATTCATGATATTTTCTCCCAGAGCAAAATAGTTGTAACATTTTTCTTATGGTGTTTGAGAAAATACGAAATATGTTGGTTATCTCAATCTTAACCTGTTGCTCCAAAAACTCTTGATATTTGCTCTAAGAGCAAAAAAGGTTGAATCCACAAGCACACTTCTTTACCTGAGATCTAGAGGTCTCCTCAGCTTATAAACAGATTCAGTTCCCTTGTCTTCAACTTTACTCATCTCACTCTTTAAAAAATGTAAAAGATAGAACAAAGATGACATTCATTCAACAGTTTTCTAGTTCTCACTGTTTATTAAATTAAATATTTTTAAACCTTCTGGTCGTCCATGAACTTTACTCCACTCAGATCCATCTCGGAGGTTTTTCTATCCACCCATCCTAAACATTAAACATTTTCTATCCATCCATCCTTAAACATTAAACATATTCTATCCACCCATCCTTAAACATTAAACATATTCTATCCACCCATCCTTAAACATTAAACATTTTCTATTCACCCATCCTTAAACATTAAACATGTTCTATTCACCCATCCTGAAACATTAAACATGATCTATTCACCCATCCTTAAACATTAAACATTTTCTATCCACCCATCCTAAACATTAAACATATTCTATTCACCCATCCTAAACATTAAACATATTCTATCCACCCATCCTAAAACATTAAACATGTTTTATCCACCCACCTTAAAGGGACTGTAAAGGAAAATGAAAGGGAGTATAGGATGAAACCTCAGGAATCTCAGGAGTTCAATGATACATATAATACTTCTATCTGATGTTCCTGTCTTGAGAAATAGATATAAAACTGTGTCAAATTTATACGAAAATTTATATATATGCAACTTTGTATAAAAGTTGTAATATTTAACAGATCATATTCAGGAACCAATCTGAAAAGGACGATATCCCACAGTAGCCTGATAAATCTCAGGTTTGCTGCTATTATATTTTTCTAATTTTTATTTTGTATTTTTCATAGATATAATTGATAATATAATTACACATAGTCCGTATAGCCCGTATTACATCACCAGAACTTCAGCCAATGGCAGTGCACTTTACTGGTGCACGTGATTTCCGTCTGTATCACGTGAAAACGATACTGCACTGCCATTGGCTGAAAATCTGGTGACGTAATCGGTTCCTTGTAAATAACTAAAAAGAGAAAGTTATCCAAATGTTATATTGATAATCAGTAACGTGGACATCTTTAAATACTCCTATAACCACCGTTGAATTCTTTCCGTTCATCAATTTTTGATATTTAAGAAATGTTAAATATGATTAAAGGGACTGTACGCGTATTTTTATGTGACTCTTCATATTTTCTTTAGAGCGGCATGTCTGATTCACAACGACAGACATTTAAGCTTTGTCTGATGAAAAGTGTATGAGATATCAATCATTTTCTATTTCAAATTTTTGTTTTCAATTCTGGCTGTTTTATTTTTATCTGTTTATTCTGCTTCAGAAACCGTGCTGGAAATTGTTAGAATAAAAAAATTTTCACATTATTGCTCAGATAAAGGGTTAAAGGGTACCGTTGTGAATCTGGTGCGCCCCTCTCTAAATGGAGTTTACAACAAATGTCCCATTAAACATTTTCAGTTCACCCATCCTTTAACAAGTTATGTTCTTATATCCTGAACTATGGATTTAGAATTTAAATTCTACAATTGTCTTAGTAAACTATCAAGATGCTGAACCAAACCCGCTGAATTGAAACTGGAAAAGTGCATTTTCTTGACAATGTTTTTACTGAATGTTTACAATTAAAAAACATTGACTGTTTGAAGGCAATGAGAGGAATTAAGATATAAGATATAAATTATTCAAGACATTTACTATTTCTGTTTTGTTTTCCCATAGAAAAGGCAATACGAGAAAGTATATATATAAAAAATAGAAGATTTGATTATGAAAACAACTTTATGTTTGTTTATGTCGACCTGCGGTTTCTAACAAACAAACAAACATATGATAAAACAAGTGGAGAAATAGTTGGTAGTAGTGGGGG